AGGGAAGGGAAGGGAAGGGAAGGGAAGGGAAGGGAAGGGAAGGGAAGGGAAGGGAAAACAGTGTTGCTTTATGTTGCCCACTGCCTTTCATGTCCCTGAAGGTCTCTCAGATGATCTCCCTGAGGTCAATACAGTGTTCTGCTTTGAAACATGGAACAGTTCAGTCCTGGTTTAAGTGAGATTTTAGAATATGGTCTTCTGTATGCAGAGTGTTAGCAATCAGAAAACATCAAGAACTTGCATGCAACTGAGAAACATGCATCCGTGTAATGGGTATTCACTGAAAAACATCTGTGCTGGCTAAAGCAAACTTCTGGTTTGCATATCTTTCTGTGACCACAATGTTTGTAAAACTCTCTATTTATATTTTGCATTGTTTTGGGGTTTTTTTCATTATTTAGTAACTGAAGGTCCTTACACTGAGAACAATGGTTTGCCTTTGAAGCTCAGAGGCACCTTTTCTTCTCCAGACATCAGGAGTGAGCAATTATTCCCTGCAATTCTCTCACTTCTGTTTCCTTATGCACTGTAAAGTGAAATGAGAAGGAAAAGAGGACAAAGAAAACTTCTCTGTGTTTTAGCAAACACTATGACAGAAATGAATGTACTTTATTTGCATAATGGAGCCTTTAATCTTAACTGCAACATTCCTAATGCCTTAGAGTGCTATTATGGTCATGAAAAACCTGATTGACTTGTCTAAATATAGACTGGCCTTTGAGATTCCTTCAACGACCTCAGATATCTGCAGAAAGCTGGAAGCCACCACAGAATCACAGAATCTGCTGATTTGGAAGGGACTCACACGGATCTTTGAGTTCAACTCTTAGCCTTGCATAGGACCACCCTCCAGAGTCCTACCATGTGCCTGAGAGTATGTTCCAAATACTTCCTCAACTCTGTCAGGCTTGAGCTCTATGATACAACTTATGGGACACGTGCATCCTTCTGGGCAGGAGAGGATCAGCTGGGATACCCCAGGGTATCTCTGAGTGGCACTGGATGCTTACAGATGTGTGGGCAGCTAAAATTTCTTCTCCTTCCCACTGACTGTAATGGCAGCTCAAACACCTAACTCATGCAGTTACACAAAGTTCACCCTGCAATGCTGAGCCAGGTTTCAATGAAATCTCCAAGCCTCTGCAGTCACTTCAATTCACTACATCCCAGCACAAGAGTCAGAGAAAAATAAAATCAGCAGGTATTGCTTGAACAAGGCTTTCAAGATTAAGTCCAGAATGCTTAGTTGTCTGTTTTTTTACAGCAGAAAGATATATAAGAAAAGTCATTCAATTTTTGTCTTATCAGCTTGTACAAATAGTTTGCTGTAAAAACCTACAGTAATTTTTTGTCAGATTTAATAATGCCTGCTGATATGTAAAGTTAAATGCAGTTTTAAAAATTACACATAGAGCCAATATGCACATTCTATCAACGTTATCCACCCTCCTAAATATATTTAAACCACACCAGATGACTCAGGTCATATGTCCATCACTTCTGAAAACAAAATCTAGTCATGAAATTAGCCTTTCCAAAATGTAACAGAGTAGGCTGTGTTGCTAAAATGCTTCATTCTTTGGAGGCTTTATTCTCTAGTAATGCAGGCCATTGCATTGAGCATAATCTATTCTGGTGTAAAATTAATGGCTTACTTTATTCTTTCTTTCTGGCTGTAAAACTAATGTCTTACTTTCTTCTGTTGGTGAGTGTTTGTTCACTGTCTCTGGAGAACATCTTCAACACTTGATTATCTTTGTTCTGATCAAAGGAGCAACCTGGAGACTGTTTAGGCTTCCTCACAGGAGGACCACATATCTTATTGACCTAAAAGGAAAAAAAGCCACAAGAAGAAGTAAAGAACACATGTAAGCAACAATTGTTACGTATCTCTCAATTCAGTTTCACTACATTTTAACAAGAAAGAAAGACTAAGCTACAAAAAGCATAATTAATTATCATACTGTGTAACACTGTATCCATAATGAATGCAGCAAACACATAATTAGTCATTTCATAGTAGAAAAAATAGTAAAAGCATTCCTTTTTAAGGGATACCAAGTGTGTAAGAAAGTCACTATGTATTTTATTGATTGTGGTGCTTTTTCACATAAGGAAGTGTATTTTTATGTAGACTGTACCAGAATCCTCTGAGAATGATGTGTTGTGAACAACAGCACCTTTCCATTTTTTCTGTAATGCATCCCAACCACACTTTTAATATACATTGAACTTTGTGCCTTCTTTCAGGGCTGATGAATTATTATGGCATGTTCAGCCCAGCTACACAAAGATACAGTGAACAGTTGGGACGCTGGAAACTTGCATTACAACATTGAAAGATGTTAAGGCAGTGACCCAAGATGTAAGTTTAGTGATATTGGACCACAGATGCTGAAAATGTCAAGGAATTTTATGTCCGGCTTTCTGATCAAGACGTCAACAGATAAAAATTCACACGAAGTCTCATTTTCTTCTTTGTAAAACATGATACTGGGCATTTTGTATGACATAGGACATCACATCCATAGCTCCTTACTCTTCCTAGTCATTGAATAAAATATTAGGCATATACATATATTTATTTAATAAGAAATAGTTATGCTTGTAATCACATCTGGTAAGATATATTAAGCAGGCTGAACAGCATGCATTTGTGTAAGCTGGCACAAGTGAAAAACTGATACTGTATGTGACACAAAAACTTGGTAGTCATTAGGTAGTCAACTTTTAGAGAGAAAAGGGAGAGAGGAGATCAATGTGGCCTCTAAGGCAGATATCCAGTCTTGAAGCAGAAACATATTCAAAATGCTGCCATGTGAAGGAAGGAGTGTGCATGCTACCCAACAAGGATTATTGTTTCCTATTTTACATTCCCACATGTAAGAACAGAGACAGCAAGTAAATCTCATTTTCAGGTTATCATCATGCACTAAAGAGAAAAATGCAAGTCTTACAGACCATCTTTCCAACTAAGAACTCCTGTAGAGCTAGTTAAGAAATACATTTAAAATTTAAAATAGAATAGACACATTTAATTTTAATGAGTTTGTTGGCATGCATGTTGTATGTGGTGATAATGAAAAATTCACTGAATGTGCTTGCTTAGGTCAGTGAAAAGAAGAAAGAATCAGCATTATTACTACATAAGAAATAGTGTTCACCTTATGATTTGAAAATGAAGGTAAAGTTGAAAGTAAGGGTTCCTCTTAGGGTGTAATTCACAAGTCACAACGCAGACAGCCAAGTTATAGTTTAGATGCCCTTCAAATGACATGCCTGAATTCACCTGCAAGACAATTATCTCTGGACATATGACTAATGTGCTTTAAGGGATTACACTCTGAACATTACTTGAGGCATTCATCTCAATGTTTCTTCTTACAGGCAGTGTCTCTCTGGACAGCATCTTACTACATTCCTTCTTGTCTTCAAATTCAGTTTCAAACCTACTTCACTCTATTTCTCCCAGTACTTCTTCCTCAGAATACACTAAAGCTTATTCCAGTAGCTTAACTGGACTCCCCATTTTCCCCCCTTGCAAGTCTCTACACCTTTTCTATGCTTCGTGCATCCTTCTGCAAGTTTGCTCCTTCAGTGCCAGCCTCTGCAGCAGCTTATCACATCAGCCTCTCCATGACAATATAATGGAGATATACCAGAGCCACAAAATTTTTCCATCATTTTATTTTTCTCACTTTTATAATATTCTTTTATGCTCACTGATGTGACAAAGGGAGCATTATGCTTATGATCAGCTCCTATGACAAAGAAACTGATTGTTTGAGTTGCCTCAGTTCCAGCTTCCCATACACTCTTCAGCTACTCTGTCTTACCAAAAGTAAAAATAAGGTTTAACAGAGAGTAAGACTCAGATCCAGATGTTTGGGAAGGAGTCATATTCAGATGTTTTGTCTCCTGACAGGCCTGGGTCAAGTGTGTAGGGTGCTATGGGTCTCAGGTGCCTTGCACATCTGAACAAGGCACCTTTGTGTCCAGGCACTTGCAGAGCCTGACTGCAGGGTGAGAGCCTGTGGGGAGAGGAGAAACAGGGTGCAGGTGACCTGCTGGCCAATGCAGCCCCTGAGCAGATGAGCAACAGCCCTTCAGGTCAAGGAAAAAAAAAAAAAAAAAAAAAAAAACAAAAAAAGGAAGACAAAAATAGATAAATTAGCTCCACCTATAGTAAACTGAAAAAAACCTCATATACATTCACCTTCACTAGGAAAACAAGAGCTCTCTGTGTTTCTTGAATTTACAGTAAAGTCATATTATATTTTGCTCTGGCTAAAATGAACAAAAAAAAAAAAAGAAAATCAATAATTTTTACAGTCATAGTGCCTTGGAATATGGATGATACTTGTTTTACACGTACTTTACATAGACAGTTGTTTCAAAATACTGTCTTACAGCCTTTCTCTGTTCTCTTTGAATCAATGTCTCAAGAAATGCATTTGCAACAGCAAGACATTTGCATTCACTGATACATGTAAATACAAACCTTAGTTTCAAATACAAAATCTTTCTTAAAAAGTAATCTTGGGTAAACATTATATATAAAAGTAACATTAAAAACCAGTAATTATCTGAAATGCCTTCTTAAGATCTGATTCTTCCCCAGTGTTGAAAAATTCTGATAATTATAATAAAAAGCATTTGCACAACACCACATACACCTCTGCCATTCTCACAAAGATATGCATGACAGTAATCAGACTGCTGAGAACTCAGTTCTGTTAATGAGGGCAGCAGCACAAAATTCACTCTTTAGCAGTCACTTCTTATTCAGGCACAGTTTCTGAAGGATGAGCTACTTCAGCATTTACAATGGTGATGTCAGCATCTCTGTAACCTTTCTCATATCTGGGATATTTAAACCTCTGGGACCACTGGCTTTGTGTGGTGTTGGTTCTTCTTTCTGTGTTTGGTTACACCATGCTCATACTGCTCACTCAGCCGAACCCAGGCTGGGGTTTTTTAATTGTTCAGTAGTATCTGTCACTTTTATGTCATTACCTTAATGTGCATAACAAATTTACTTTTGCCTCCCTCACTAGCCTAGTCTTCATCATCACCTTGTTTCTGCAGTGAACTTGTGCATATGAAAATGTCATGTACTCTTGCCTTGCCTTCAGGTGCCTGTTCTGTCTGTGAGCCAAATAATTAATAACTCATCCCAGTACAGGGCTGATGACAGTCTAAAAACCTGATAAATACAATTCCCATAATAATTTCTGCTTTATATTTATTTTTTAATGCTTTCTTTATATGTACAGGAAGAAGTACGTGTGATAAGCATAACACCAGCTCGTCATATTTCTTGTGCTTTCCGAAGGACTTCAACTATATTCATTAGCTACATTGTTTCCTAATTTTTAGTCTTTGGACTGCAAAATTAACATTCCAATTGAGAAATCATTCAGTGCTATTATTGCCAGTCTTGAGAGACTGGAATCATAACTTTGAGAGAAGAGCAATGCTCTCACTACCCTACTGAACTAAAATATTACCATTTTGCAGCAATATCTGATCAGAATCTATTCTTACAATCTTCCAGTGCCACTGAAATGGGATTTCCTCTGAATGTTTCCACAAACTGAGCATTTTTCTTGGCTTCAAAAACAAGAGAGTGTGAAAAATGATCCTCAAAGGAGATGAAAATAGAAAAGTGAAACTGAAAAATCATCAGAAAAATAATTCAGTGAGATACCTCTCACTGAATTTCAGGGAGACTTAAAGATTTCCACAAAATTTTAAAGCAGGCAAGCCTCAGCAACTTTCTAGGATTTTTTTCTCTCCTTTTTTTTTTTTTCCTTTTTTGAAATGTTCTTAAATACCACACAATATTTAAGGGCATAGAAAGAAACCTCTGAAAATTATAAAACTCCTGATTTTCACAGTTCAGACAAACCTATTGTCATTATAGTCAGCATGCTATTATTACACACAATTTGTATGCCACAGTATGATGACTGAGTTAATTAAAAGCTCTTGTAATAACCATGCAGTTAAATTGCAATTAGTGCCACACATGAACTTTATGGCAGTTTGATTTTCCTTGGTGTGATTCCTTAGAATGCCTACTTATGATTACTCACAGTTTGGAAAACTGGAGCATTATTAACCTTTGTATTTAAATAGGACTGCACAATAATGGGAGCATCATAGCAATAATGGTCAGGCACTGTTCTTTAAGTTCAGACACTCAATATGTGAAATGTGTCACATTCTTTATTTCAGTTTTGGTTTGTGCCTTTTGCTCTTTTTTCCCACTACACAAATGGTTCTTTCTGATCTCAGCATTTCTACCGAAATTATTTTACATCAAATGACTGAAGCAAACAATGCACAGTCCTGTGATGCACTTCAAACTAGATTTACCAAATTTCAGTAGACTCAAGTTTTAAATGCCTGCATGGACTATGGCTACACTGAAGCCCTGAAGGTTTGTGAGACTGGATCAATCTAGTAAACACCTAAAACATACTCCATTTACAGGAAATCCCAGAGATATATACATACATGTATCAAAAACTTACAGTGCTTGCTAAATTTACAAAAAAAAAAAAAAACAAAACCAAAAACATTAAAGAGTTAAAGGAATTCTTTAAATAAAGGAAAGGGCAGTTTTCAGACCCCTGAATCTGACAGCCAGCCAGATCTGAGTAAAAGACCAAGAGGTTTTGTACCCAGAGAGGTGTCTTCTCCCCTGTTCCTCAATGCACAGCACAGTCTAAGTGACTAGCTATGCCATAATCTGATTTTATTTAATGCATGCTTTAGCTAGTGATTAGTCTGGTGGTTTTCAATGCTAACTGTCAGATCAGAAACTTGCCATATTCCTTACAGTTAAATCCCCTCAAACACTCGTGAGCAAATGGACAGCTGAAATCTAACAACCCCAAAATAAAATTTTATTTTCTGTTCTACAAATACAAAACGAATACTTTCTTCTAGAAATAGATTCTTGATGAGTTGCCAGCATTTCCAGCACCAGATTACTAATCAAAAATACCAAAGATTTTGATCTTTGGAAAATAATGCATTAAACTGTTATAGTTTCCCTGGTTTGTTTCATTTTCAACTAAACCACAAGAGGGAGCATCAGTATTTCAGTGTTCTCAAGCACTTCAGCAGCCCTCTGTTAGTTTGGGGGGGTTTAGGGTTGTTTGCCTTTTTTTTTTTTTTTTTTTTTTTTTTTTTTTTCCTAACAGTTGCTCATTTAAGCTCAAACTTCTGCTTCAAAGAAAAATTCATTGTGATATATGAGAAGGTGCACGTGGCATGAGAGATTAAAGTATGAGAGCAAGCATGAGGTACTAAAGATTTGCTTTTCCTTCAGAACAGGACAAATGTTAATATGCAACCATTAATGTCAGAAGAGACTGGTGGAGTACCACGTTTGCAACCCAGGAAAACCATGAAGAAATTCTGTATTATTTTCTTTTCTTTCTTTCCAAATTTTGTCTTCTTATTCGGTGACTACTTGACTCTAACAATATGTCTCAGACATAGGAAAATAAGCAAGTTCTGGAGTTACATTGGGAAATTACAAAATTCATACCTACGCTTAAGCATTTTACAGAATTTGCAGGAGAAGTCCATGACAAGTGAGGAGGAAAACATTGTGAACAAAAGCCTAGAGAATTAGACACTTAGAATAATACCTGTTAGAATTACTAAACAATTTAGAATCCCCTGTAAGACAACTCTCAAATAGACTTGCCAGCTAATGATATTTTCCAAGAAATTTTACTCAAAATTGAAATTGAAATTTCAGGTGATACACAATAATGTGCAGCTATAATTTTTCAAGAAAGACAGATTTGGAGGTGGTTTCAAGCTCAAAAAGGACAAATCCAATTCAAAGAAAACTTGTGAAATATAAGAGTTTGTCTCACACCCAAGCAGGTGGTATTGAGGAAAAATAAATGTAAACTGCAGATGTACAGAATGCACACCCACCAGCAAGGCAGTTGTAGCCTCCTCAGGGAAAAAAAATGAAAGGATTACATGTTAGAAATAAAAGGAAAGTAATTTTCTGTGATATATAAATTGAAGTACAACTTGGAGATACTGAACTAATAATTCCACTTGGTCTGGCACTATGCAGCACCACTGCCATGGGGAAATGCCCCATCCCTGGAAGTATTCAAGTCCAGGCTGGATGGGACCTTGAACATCTGGTCTGGTGGAAAGAGTCCCTGTCCATGGCAGGGGGGTGGAACTAGATGATCTTTAAAGTTCCTAGCAATGCAAACCATTCTGCGAGTCTACAAAATCTTAAGTCAAGACCAAGGAAAGAGACAAAGATGCAAAGACTTTGCTAACCCGATTTTTATAACCAGATTTTTTTCATATGGTTTTATATAAGACTGCCGTTCAAGCTGTTGGATTCTAGGAGTCACAGTTCCCAACTTTCACATGACTGAGATGCATACCCTCCTCCTACTACTACATTTATCAAAATCAGTAATCCTGTCCAAGTACTTGAGAGCTCTGTTCTCATATCTTATCAATGTTTAATTATCTCTGCTTTCCTTCATAATTTTGCATGTTGGGGATTGCAAAATGAAATCTAAGAGCCCATTAAATATGATCCACTTTATATAGTTTTAATTTGTGTCTTCTGGTCTTTAATCACTAAAATTGTAAATGGTTTTAATTCTGTTGCTCCATTCATGAGGGACTAACACTCAGCAAGTCTGGCAGTAAAAATAGTTTCTCCTCCTGAATGGAGCTGGAAGGGAAGGAAATGATTTTTTCTTTTTTTTACTTTAAATGACTTAATGTCAGGGGAAATCCAAATGTTCTCAGCCAAGTTACCCTGTAGCCAGAACACAGCACTGCCAGTTCAAACTCTTCAAAGGCAGTTCAACAAAAACTGCTTCTTCTAAGAGGCTGCCAGCTCTCCCGATCCAAGTCTGCTTCAGTGGATGCCAAGGTGTTCCATTTATGCTCAGTGAAAACACTCTGTGGTTCTCCTCCCAAAAGCAATTACATAAAACCAGAAGCAGCCTTTTCCAAAGATCAGCTGCCTGCGTGTAGTTTGACTGATTTATTTGTGCTTTCTTGTGGTTCAAATATACTTTATTTCTCCATATTTCTGTGTGCCCAGCAAATACAGCTCTCACATAGAGGGCTAACATTGTGCTGTCTTGTGGGACACAGGCAGAATTGTTCTTTAAATCTAGGTCTAAAATTATCCACGGTCACCTGTGTAAACCAAAAGAAATTCAGTAGAAGTGCGATTGTCAATGAAAGCAGAACTGGGCGTCTATAACCTTTATCAGGCACATAACTTACTTAAAACAAAAACTACATTTCAATTTAAAACACATAAAGAATTAGTGAAAGCAAAGCAAGCTGGCTGCATCAGCATATCTGCACAACATGTTTACACTTTATTGCAGGCTGCTATTTACATTCCAAAATTGTGAAGAGCAGAGCAGTTTTGTTAGCAAAATTACATAACAAAAGTATGTAAGCTAATAAAAATCGTGTTCACTTAAATTAGCAGTCATAATACATTATTTCATTTAGCATTAGACATTTTCAATAACTCTTTCTATAACTGGAGGGTCACCTTTTCATGATAACAAGAGTCAAAAAACATCAGAAAAAAAAAGGAGGAAAAAACCCCCTATCTAGTTAGTATTTCAGAGAATCTACACGTTTCTTCTCCATTCCAAATTGCAGCTTACAAGATCAATGCTTCTGCTTGCTATATCTGTACATTAAGTGTTTCAATGCCTCCTCACTCTCTTCTTTGTACCTGGGAAAAACAGTTCTCCTTGAAGATCTTTTGTAATGTACAAGACAATCACTTATTCACACATGTTGGTATCATTTCAGGGACCAAAATAGTCCAGAAAGCTCATTTGCTTCAAAATCCTTGGATTTGCCCTAAAAAAAGGCTTTTCCCTTACAAAGAATTGGTAGCAATTTAAAGGCCAACTGAGATACCAGAAGTCTGGCCAGCTCGGCACATCTCTATTAAGTTCCTCTGTTTCACAAAGAAAAACAAAGAGCAGAGAAAAAACACATACACAGCTTACAGAAAGGATTGTTAGTCCTCTTCTTTACACTTGTTCATGCCTTCTACTCAGCTTGGAGGAGTGAAAAATCTCCTTCCTTCTCTTTTTGCAAATATGAAGAATCAGACTGCAGTACTTTCAGTCTCTGAATCTTTCTCACCTTCAGTCCAAGTGCCCAGTAGCACATTGAGGCAAACGTGCCATTGTGCCAAAGCACAGTTAGATATCTATCATCATCACCTAAACCCAGACCATGATGGCAGCCCAGACTGCTTACTCTGCATTTTTCAGACCTCTGAGTGCCCTCTGACTAGTCAATGGAAAGTGAAAAGCCATTTCAGATCTGTGCAATTTGCCCAAATTTTGCCTAATCTTCTGTTACTAAAAAAATAAAAGGGGAAGGTATATTAAAGATCCTATGCTTTCCTGACATACCAAATCTAAATCTTAAAAAAAAATGCAGCAAAATTGAACACTTTAGCAAGTTTCAAGTAATTTCAAATTGTGAAGCGGGTTCATCAAAAACACATTAAATCTGAATGCATAATGCATGCCATGATATGCTCCTACATTATTTACTTGGCAGTCTAGATTGAATAAATTTCATGTAAACCTGCACTATTCAGCATTGCTTGCCAAAGCCATGCATGTGTGTTGATAAATGCAGTGGGTTGGACTTTTTCAAGAGCCTAAGGCCCACCCAGCTGCTCTCCCACTCCCCCTCCTCTAAAGAACACGGGGAGAGAAATAAGAAGAAAAAGCTTGTGGGTTGAGATTAAGACAAGGAGATCACTCACCAATTAATGTCATGGCCAAAACAGCCTCAGTTTGAGGAAGACTAATTAATATACTGCAAATTAAAATATACTACAATGGTGGAAAATAAAGTTCAGACTAGAATCACCCTCTTCCTATCTTCTCTCTCCTTCCTCTCAAGGTAAATCTCATTCCTTCATTTCCAGCTCTTCTGCTACCCCTCAGTCCCCCAGGCAGTGCAGGGGGCTCAGAGACTGGGGATTGCTGCCAGTGCAACTGCAGCCCATACAAGTAACTTCACCGTGGGAGAAAAGGGGGAGGAATCTGTGCAATTCAGCAAATGAATTTTAAAAAAGCACTTTTCACAAAAGTGTGAGACATGAACTTGACACTGGATTTGAACATCTTCTCACTGAAGGTGAGAAATATGTCCCCTGTCATTTCCATTAAAAATTAGAAAAAAAGAAGAGGCATAGAAAAGGATGTACCTTGAAAGTGGGACCAAAAACTGAGATACCACATATTTAAATTCTGAGAAGCTAAGGAACATAGCAACTGATTTTGTTTAGACAGTTGAGGTTTTGTGGTTTCATAGTTTCATGTTCTGCTATTATGTTTTAAAATTTCTTGATGAAAACAAGTGCTTCCAGTGTTTGCCACACATCTCCCAGCGTATCACAAACCTTAAAATAAAAGACAACAAGTGTATGTCCAGCAATGTGTAAATATTTTGTCTTTCCAATTTGCATTTGAGTACAATGTCTGGATATATCAAAGGAGCAGATAACCCAAACACCCATTTTTCCACAATGTGCACTTAACTATGCATGTATTATTGCCTCTGCCAATATTCTGTGCATGACTTCAAGGCCTGTTACTACACATCAGAAAAAAAGTAGAACAATTGCACTGTAAAAGGACACCAGTTCTGAGGATTATCCAGCAACATTAGGCATAGAACTGCCATTTCAACACACAAAATGCTCCGAGTTGTGATTGTCACGATTTTTATGTTAGATGTTGTAGCAGGTATCTTCTTATTATTGATAAACACTGATTTCAGTGACAAAAAAAACAGCATATGGACTTGTAGTAATATATAGTGTGTGGTATAAATGCCAGAAATAACAGTAATACTCCAGACCTCAGTAAATGCAAGCTGCTTATAGAATATAATATATATAGAATATATGGATATAAATAAATATAAATATATATATATAAATATAAATATATATATATATATAAATATATATATATTATATATATATATATACATAGAAATATATAGAATGGATGGATAAAAAAAAAAAGATGGGAAGGGCTGTCCAATTGCTAAGTATGTTCAGGTAGGAATAAAGTCTACTGTTTAATGATAACAAATTTTCATTAGGTAGAAACAAGCCAAAAACACTTTATTTGGTGATTTTCACTTTGTTTTCAAAGTTCTCCATTCTCTTTTCTGATGAACAAAACCCAGCTTAGCTTCAGAAGAAAACTTTTTGATATATGCAAGGAGCTTTTCCATGATGAAACAATGGAGAAGTGAAATACACCACTAGAAGAGTCTGAATTTGATGGAGGTCACAAGTGCAATAGGCTTACTTCACGTTACATTTAAGAAATGACATATACATAAAAATATGTCATACTGTATCATACAAGCAGTACAGTTTTTCACAACTATGGCTGGATGCATATCTGAATGGAGAGAAAGGGAAGGTGATGGTCTTAATTCTGTGTTAGCTGAAGCAGGAATCTTCTTTTCGAACACAATTGTATTAGACTTTAAATCCAACTACTTTTCAGCAGTTTTCACAAATCAGTTTCTATTGATCTTGTGAAGTAATTTAAAGTCATCAATGTATCAAGTAATTTAAATTCAGCAAAGTTATGATGGCACAGTCATGTGCCAAAAGCATCAGGCAGAATTCCACAATTTTATTCCAAAATCTGATTTGCTGAAAATTATAAGGGTTTGGGTTCTTTTGGTCTTATTTTTTAAGTATGAAAGAAATTTATGGCAAGTGGCTCACTTGGGAGTTGTCTTTTACAAATTGGTAATGGGAACACACACTCACTGAAAGTTAAAGGAGTACAAGGCTAAGTCCATATTAGGTTGATTTCATGACAGGAACAATATAATTAATTTTCCCACAATATCAAATTTAGGTAGTATCTGTCCAAGCTCTAAATCAAAGCTCATTTTTCCTCCATAGCTTAGCACCAATACCTTCACTTCTCTTGAGAACCAAGGTACTACAGTTGAATGGTAGCTTGGCTACCATTTCCTTTGAGAACCTTCAGGCTATCACTCCAATAATCTCAAATTTTATCATCCTGTTGTGGGGAATTCTATCCACACTTAAGGACTGTATAAAGAGCAATTCATTCTTTTGCTTTGACCAAAGATCTGTGAAATAAATAAACAGTGCATACAGACTTGTGAGGATTCAGTTTTAGCAACATGCTTGCATGGCAATGCTCACCAGCCACAAGACGAAGCCAGTGCACTATAGGAACACAATGAACAGGACATGTTCCTGCCCTGTCCATGACCCTTCATGCTGGTCCTATCCCACCACAGCCACTGAGTGAAAGATGGTTGGCTCCTCAGTAAGAATACTCCCCTGATGCACCCACCTTCTAAACCATTTCACAGAATCAGATTTATTTAGGAGGGATTTTTTGAGGTCATATAGTCTAACATCCCTGGTCAGATACAGCTGGTTGTCCAGGTTCATATCTAGCTGGGTTACGAATATTTCCTAAGATTGAAACTCCAAAACCTCTCTGGACAACCCATTCCATTG